AGTCAGGGAATTTAGGGTATTTGAAGTGTCCATCATTTTGATTATTTATCATTTCCATGTGTTGGGAACACTTCAAGTCCTCTATTCTAGCCACTTTAAAATACACAGTCTATGATTGTTAACAATATTCATTCTACTCTGCTGTTGAATGATACAACTTATACCCTCTGTTTGTACCCTTTCACCTACCTCTCTTCATCCCCCCTAACCCATCCACCCTTCCCAGCCTCTACTATCTATCATTCAACTCTCTACCTCTATGACATCTGTAGGGGATGGGCCTAGAAGAAAGGATGGATGGATGGAAAGAACATGAGCAAGGTGAGCTACATTTTTATACATTTATAGACATGTATACCTACCAGCCAAGTCAAAACACAGAACATTTTCAGGACTCCAGATTTCCTCATGCCTTTTCCTAGTCAACACCCTCTTGAGAGGTAACCACCATTCTGATTTCTACCACAATATATTAGTTTTTCCAGTTTTTCAACTATATAAATGGAACCATATGGTATATACTTTTTTGTTTCTGGCTTCTTCCACTCTGTTTGTTTGATCCATCCATGTTGTTGTGTGTAGCCATCATCTTGTTCTTATTCATTGTTATGTAGTATTCCACCATGTGAAATACTATAATTTATTCCTTTTTCTGTTAATGTTCATTTTGCATTTTTTTCCAATACTGGGCTATTTTGACAAATACTCTTTGTTTTATCCTTGATCAAAACAGACTATTAAACAAAGTTCACACCAATTGTCACTACAGAGGTCCATAGGATTCAGGAAAATAGCTTTCAAGAGCATCTCAGAGGGATCAACTACTCATTGATTAACCATTAATAGGGTCCTGACCCCTCCTTACCTGTCAGTTTCCCTCCCACTAACCTGGACAGTGTGTCCTTAATACTTCTTCCTCCAGCACCCATGGTTCTTCTTCTTGCTCCAATTTGAAAATCACATCAGGTTTGGTGAATGGATAGCCTGTCAAAGAGAAGTGACACAGATTTGGGCAAATGTACTAGGAACAAAGATCCACCCAAGAATTGAGGCTGCATAAGGAAATCAGGCTTTCTGAAGGACAGGAAAATGTGGCTTCTGGGGATGCTGCCCACTGATCCTTTGCTCTGAAAGCTGCAGCATGGACATTCACGTGAGCAGAGGCCTCTCAAGGCTAAACTCATTCTGGCATTTAAAAGTTCCACACATTTCAGAAACACTGAAGAAAAAATGTACTTTATTTCCAGAGTTTGAATTATACAGTAAATTACTCTTACCTACTGTGATTAAGTTGTTATAGTTTTCTAGCATTACATTCCGATACAGGTTCCTCTGAGCAGGATCCAAGTGCTTCCACTCCTCCTGGGTGAAGTCGATAGCCACATCTTTGAATGTCACTGTTCCCTGTAACAACACACTCCTACTCAATCTGAAGTTTTCCATCTTAGTTGATATGGACAAAACATACAGAACTTTGTTCTGATATTACTCAGAGGTTGTTAAAGAACTTTACCTGGTTTTATTATTTTCTAAAAAATGAAAAACATCGTATTAGCAACATTCTGTCAATTTATATTCATTCACTAATTTAGCAAGCATATATCTTTAACAACTACCATGGGTTAAAGAGGAGATCTCGGGCACCAATTTATACTGAGTGTAAAAGAAAGAGAAGGCCGGGCGCGGTGGCTCACGCCTGTAATCCTAGCACTCTGGGAGGCCGAGGCGGGCGGATCGTTCTGAGCTCAGGAGTTCGAGACCAG